CTTTGCTACCACCCCCCATATCATTTCCTGTTCTATTCTTATGCAGTCGCAATGCTTTTGAAGTTGGAAACATTGTCTGACAAGTCTGACAGGATACATCATTTTGTGAAATCACGTTTATGAAGTAAGGTTCGGGATAAGAAGGAGAAACATCAGGGGCGGGGATTGGCGGTGGTGGGGGGTAGGGGGAAGGAATGGCAGGTGGTGATGTGGTAGAAGGAGGTATGGATACTGTAGCCATGTTTTTCCTACTTTGCTGCGACTCCCAATATCATGTCCTGTTCTAGTCTCATGCAACTGCAATGCTTTTGAATTTGGGAAAACTCCATGACAAATCTGACAAGAAAAATCATATTGTGAAGTCCTGTTTAGGCAATGTGGTAAGTGTGATTGAAAAGCAAGTTCATGGGTAAAGTGTTGAAAGCACAGTGAACATTGGCAAACCAAAGGATTGTCTACTTTTTGACAGCTTTTCACATGACGTTTTAAACTATCTTTTCTGGAAAAATATTTTCGACAATACTGACATGAAAATTGCCCCCCAACTTTTCCACATATTTGCTGATGCCTTGTTAAATTTCTTTTATAACCAAAACAAGTGTGACAATTTTCACAGTAGGAGTCTCTACTCGTGGTGTACATAGTCATAATAGGTATTCACCAACTAAGTGTGTATGTGTTGGTAGTTACCTGAAAACAAACAAACGAACATCAACTAAGCATTAGACTAAAATGGTTACAAACAGTTTTAAATATTATGTCGTGATATTAAGTTTTAAATAATCTAACAAATGTATAAGTGTAAGTATGCAGTAAAAGTGGAGTACTTGCTCTTTTGCTGAAGATTCCTATCCTAAGGATGCACGTTAATGGTTAACGTTTCCTGTACACTTTTGGTTGATGTTGCCTTGGCAATTCCTCAGTCGGAAATGGTGAAAAAAATAAAGTGGACGGACTTCTTATTCCAAAACTAAACATTTTGGAGCTCTATAGAAATATAAGTTCAAATTTAAGTGCAAACAGCTACACACAATGAACATGATTGGTTTGGCTGCTATTCAAAACAGTTTCAGATTGCTTCAAGACAGATGTATCAAGCGGGTGTATAATAGGGTAGTACTAAGAACTGCTGAATCACCTTGACCGAGTACACAAGCTATACAATATTTTTGAGAAAATGTTTACCATGGGATGGTACTGAAAACGTGACACTTTAAAAGCACAGGTGTTCCATTATGAAAGACAACATAAAAGGGATACACTTAATGAAAGAGCCGTATAGAGAGTGTGTTACTAAAAACTCGATATTGATTAAAAATGAGAGAGTAACAAGTGGTGGCTTTGTGGATTCGTTCTTGTTAAGTCAATAGGGCTGCTGTCTGGTCAAACAGGGGAGTATCTAGAAAACGTACTAATTAAAAATCGTATACTATCACTCACAAGCAAAGTATAGTGAGTCAGAAGTATATGTATACACCATTTGTATGCGAGGTGTACCAGTTGATACCATTTGAAAAGAACAAGGCAACATAATGAAGTAGTTTTTCCCGTGAGAAAGTGACAACATGCTGAATCACCTTACTTGCAGAGTGAGTATAAATATAACGTGTTAGTGGTTCATTTCGGGAGAAGACACTTTACTCGAAAACGTCTGACAATCACATCCACACTACGTTTGAGTGGGCTGCTGGCCATTGGCTGTCTATCAAGTTGTTCCGTGATGATGCTTGGGTGCATCTTTCAAACTACAACAGCAAAAAGGAAAGGAAAACCATTTCCTTGAAAAGCAGTGTATTTAGAAAACTGATTGAAGATCGCGAACAAATTCTATCTGCTTTGGAGGACTATTTTAAGTGCTTTGGCTATTATTATTATTATTATTATTATTATTATTAATTTACCCTTCCTTTTCAGCCATCGTGGGATACAATGCTCAGTGAGACGAGAAAGGAAAAGACTGCTTCGGCGTAGATTGCATCGCGGGTATTATCGACACATACGCGAGCATCTCACTGTGTTTTCTCAAATAAAAGCATATTTTTAATCAGAATGTGTGTATGTTTTATGTTTCAATTCGCAGTTATTCGCTCTCTTGGTCTATCAATGTGATATGAGCCACTAGTGTGATACGAGTTACCTCCCTTGGATCACGAGGGCAGGCCGCTCGCTTCATCCGTCTTTCGGTGTATGTATTCATGCCAGCCAGCGTTCATTGTTTCTTCACTGTCAATAGTGTATTACCTCCCTTACACCGGTAAGCCGTTCGTCTACAGGTATCTGGTGTAGCCGAACGGTTTGACCGTTGTTTTTCCAGCTAAGTTTACTACATGATGATATATAAGAAGAAATTAAATCCAGCCATGTACAATTGATGGAATAAATATGATTAAACCAAATATGAACTGAGCGAATGGTTAATTCAAACGGAATATATGGAGGAATGATTAATGAAACAGTGTTGTACAGTCATAAGGTAAGTTCACTTATTTTCATTATTACTATTACATCAATTAGTTATATGTCATAAAGCAGAAAACATACGAATTACACATCTGCAGATGGGTATAATGTATACTTTCTACTCAAGTTCTAACATAATGGCGAAAACAAGTAACAGCGATATTATCTAGTTGGTGATCGTCTAAAAGCAACATTTAACCCTTAGTGTTACGTTAGCACACTGAAACAGATAAAAAGTTAAAGAGTGATAGAAATGTTAATAGATAAAGGTTAATAGATAAAGGTTAATGAATACCGCTATGAACAATAACATAATATTTTAACACTTAGTGAAACGTGATTGAAGTAGAGAAAAATGAATTGACATCGGTGAAAGGGTTAACAGGTTCAGCGGCTAAAACCCACACACGAATAGATTCACTCTTGCGTGTAAAGAGTGGGTGAGCGAGAGCTACCCCTAGTGTATTGATACTAATGTGCGGTGACATAGTTACATGTTTGAACAGAGCGAATATATACAGAGCCAGCCTTACTGCTAGTCTCCTTTAGCAAAATTTGCTTCTATTGTGTGATTTGACTGGCCTCTGTGGTATGCTCCACAAGAATGCTTTTGTTTGTTTCTTTACTCTACGCTCCATAGGAATATAATGCTTTTGTTTGTTTCTTTACTCTACGCTCCACAGGAATGCTTTTGTTAGAAATTCCATGCTCCACAGGAATGCTTTTGTTTGTTTCTTTACTCTACGCTCCACAGAAATGCTTTTGTTAGAAATTCCATGCTCCACAGGAATACTTTTGATGGAAATTCCATGCTCCACAGGAATTTGTTGAAATTCTATGCTCCACAGGAATGCTTTTGTTGGTACTCCACGCTCCACAGGAATGCTTTTGTCCGGAAGGTATTACTTTCTATCTACTAGCGTGTGTGGTATGATCATTGTTATGATCAGTGATATCCAGACTTTTTTGAAAGTTTGATCACTGTTGGTGCTAGGTAAATTTTATTCCTATGCTAGTATATTTTAAATTTTTTATATGCCATTGTCAGTGTTCTGCCATTGAATTTTGTACTACAATGTAGCACTTTATTGTGTACATGTACTGCCATTGAATTTTGTACTACAATGTACCACTTTATTGTGTACATGTACTGCCATTGTATTTTGTACTACAATGTAGCACTTTATTGTGTACATGTACTGCCATTGTATTTTGTACTACAATGTACCACTTTATTGTGTACATGTACTGCCATTGTATTTTGTACTACAATGTACCACTTTATTGTGTACATGTACTGCCATTGTATTTTGTACTACAATGTACCACTTTATTGTGTACATGTACTGCCATTGTATTTTGTACTACAATGTACCACTTTATTGTGTACATGTACTGCCATTGTATTTTGTACTACAATGTAGCACTTTATTGTGTACATGTACTGCCATTGTATTTTGTACTACAATGTAGCACTTTATTGTGTACATGTACTGCCATTGTATTTTGTACAACAATGTACCACTTTATTGTGTACATGTACTGCCATTGTATTTTGTACTACAATGTACCACTTTATTGTGTACATGTACTGCCATTGTATTTTGTACTACAATGTAGCACTTTATTGTGTACATGTACTGCCATTGTATTTTGTACTACAATGTACCACTTTATTGTGTACATGTACTGCCATTGTATTTTGTACTACAATGTACCACTTTATTGTGTACATGTACTGCCATTGTATTTTGTACTACAATGTACCACTTTATTGTGTACATGTACTGCCATTGTATTTTGTACTACAATGTACCACTTTATTGTGTACATGTACTGCCATTGTATTTTGTACTACAATGTACCACTTTATTGTGTACATGTACTGCCATTGTATTTTGTACTACAATGTACCACTTTATTGTGTACATGTACTGCCATTGTATTTTGTACTACAATGTACCACTTTATTGTGTACATGTACTGCCATTGAATTTTGTACTACAATGTAGCACTTTATTGTGTACATGTACTGCCATTGAATTTTGTACTACAATGTACCACTTTATTGTGTACATGTACTGCCATTGTATTTTGTACTACAATGTACCACTTTATTGTGTACATGTACTGCCATTGAATTTTGTACTACAATGTACCACTTTATTGTGTACATGTACTGCCATTGAATTTTGTACTACAATGTAGCACTTTATTGTGTACATGTACTGCCATTGAATTTTGTACTACAATGTAGCACTTTATTGTGTACATGTACTGCCATTGTATTTTGTACTACAATGTACCACTTTATTGTGTACATGTACTGCCATTGTATTTTGTACTACAATGTACCACTTTATTGTGTACATGTACTGCCATTGTATTTCTCGCTTTCTGTATTTCTAACTTATTGTTTCAGGTTGAAAGACGACACGTAATAAAATACCCCAAACAGTCACATAAGTTATTGCATCATTGAAACGTATGAACGTTGTGTATCAAATACACTGACGAATAAATAATGGAACACAGAGAAACACAATTTAAGATTAACGTTTACTGCTTAGCTGAGCTAGTAACAAAATAAGCACCTGAGTGACATGTAGGTAGCTGGTGTGATCTCTACATGTCCGGCACACCTGGTTTTCAGCATAACACATACATAGTGTATACCCTGCACTCAGTTATCCTGTGACACGGAATCTTCTTAAAGCATATCTTTCTGATTAAGTTTGTCAGGAATTGAAACCTTAAATTATGTAATGAACCCATGTCCTCGTTCACTTCTAGGCAACCTGGATGACCTCCCAGACGTAATCGTCAAGTTGAAGGTCACCGCCAGTGTAAATCAAGATATCTCGCTCTGACCCAGCTTCTTTAACGTCGGTTTTTGGTAGCTCCACCTTGATTGCCCAGGCCGCTCTCACCAGCATCCCCTTGGTTGGGTCGACACGACCATCCCAATTGTTATAGATTATTTTCTTGAGTCCTGAAGACGGAGAAAGGGTTGTTCCGTACACACCTGTAAACAGACATTTACGCTGAAATGAGCATAAAGGTAGAAAGATGAAAATTAGAAAAGAGAAGCGCGCGCATATTTACTATTTGCAAGAATAATGTAAATATTACAGCCACATAGTGAAAGTTTGATGAATTCCTTCCCACATTCCTTGCATTATTATGTCCGAGGTTCCTTAGATTGCGAGGGAAGATGATAGGGCGCTCAGAAAGTAGCTCTGATTTGCTGGTCAACAGCGTTTTTCAACCAGTCTGATTGCAGCTCACACTCCACTCACATTTGTAAGGTAAATGATTATCAGAATATTTTATCTTACTGCATCCATCGAAAATGTCGATAAACGTGCTACACGCACAGCGAGGATGTTAACTATTGAACCAGATACTTTTACTTTTAGATGTTTCACAATCGAGCTTTTGACAATGAATCTGTCGCCATCTGTCACCCAGCCCATCTATACTTGACCAATGAGAAAGTTCTAATTGGAACAGTTAAAGCCATTTAGTTTTTACAATGTTAGTTGACATTATTCAGATTAATAGTTTTACTAAAATTGATATATATTCTATACTCTACGATCATTAAACATATATACACATTATGATATTAGAAATATACAGTTTAAACAAAATGTTGAACAACATGTTTCTCCTGATCGATAGTTGAATCAACTATCATTAAGAAACAACTCTTTGTTTAGCGATCCCAGCCAATGTTCTATGTGACCCATGATTATCTCCATTTACAATATTCCTTATCTTAATCTGAACGGATTGTGAGGTAAAATATGTAGATATATAGTTTTGTTGTTTTGTGACACACCTCTTCCAAACACTGCATCCTTGGCCCCATCACTTGCGCGTATTCGTTTCTGACGGACGATAGCGTCCTTCCCAGCCTTGTTGGTGTAGTGGTAAAAGGTAATAGTTGCCATGTTTTGACTTCTAAAACACAGAAAATATTACTGTTTCATTCAGTCATTTCCTCAACACAGAGACTAAAATCATGTATTCAAAAGACATGCCTGTTTAGATAAATTCTAAAAGAATGACAGATGTATTTCAACATACCCGGAACGCGCCCTTTCTTGTCGGTCAGGAAATGAGTTTACATGTAGTTATGTTGTAGTCGCTAGGTTAGAGGCTTTATATTGATAAACAGAAAGTGATGCCTTACGTTTCCTCGAAACGCATTTAGGCAATAAACAAACATGAGTCATACAAGTCATAAACGCCCAAAACACGTGATAGGATAATGTGTCTGCTGGACTGAATAGGACGTTATATAGAATTTTGTACTTTCAATTTCGTTTTTCCCTTCGCCGAATGAATAAAATGTCACCCTGACACTGTTAGTGTAGCTGCCTTCGCCAGCGACCCTAGATCCTCTTTCACTGTACATATGTTGCCATACTTAAAGCCCCATCTGCGGTAGTAACTACCGCACTCTAGTGGGCGGAGCTTATACAAGTGATCTGACAGGTCAATATGACGTCATGCTAACACATACATTTCATTGGTTAATGCGTAAACGGGTGACGTCATGTAAACACCCACCCACGTGGGCCGTTTGACAACAAGGACGTAAGTTTTAATGGTAATATAAATATCTACCAAACGATTCCAAGACTTTTCAACAAGACTTTTCAAAACCTACCTGCCATGTCGTCTTCACACCTTCATAAAATGATACCGTGGAATTTCCACGAATTATCCAACACAGTCCAACACACAAATTATAGTTCTAGATCTCTGGACGAGAACGAAATACGTTCGTCGTGATACAAAAGAGCAGTGTAAATGAACAAGAAACATACTATGTGTTGGGACACCAATCGTTTTCCTGTGGTGTACGGTATATCTGCAGTTTATAAATAGCATTTCTCACAATATATACGGCAATCGGTGATTTCAACAATGTTTTTTTTCGTTGTGTTCGTCTTGCCTCATCTGGAATCTGGATGACAACGATCGTGTAAAAAACCCTGGTAATGGTCAAAAATATTTTCAAGTGTCGTTTTTTCATTGCCCAGTAGCAATGTATTTTGGCAAAGTCTCACTTGTCCGATGAAGCTCCTCATACCGAAGTAACTCGATCCGTGAAACTTGGCGGGTCCCAGTGACCCAGATCCCTGTTGATTGGCACATTGCTTCTGGACTGAGCTAAATAAACGAAGTGTTTGGAGAGATCGTAGATACTTGGCCTTGAAGAAACGGAATTAAACGTTGCAGCAGCTGAAGGATTGGTGTGGACAAAACGGGAAACGGATCCCAGATTGTATTTTAAAACATGTGCGCGAAGTGTACCCAAATACCCCGAACAAAAAATACATGGGACAAGTGTGCATCTAATGATCAAACTCAGTTTTGTGTGTGAAAATTCTGTGAAAGAAAAGGAAATTCATAATTAAAGTTTTCTTGGAATATGTGTATTTGAGTTTTCGTTTAAGTACAATATTATCTGGATACGCCTTCTGTAGGTCAAAACATCTAGTATATTTCGTTACTTATTTACCAGTTGCTTATGTGCATTGTTATGTTGATACACGTGACATATTCATCTAATGTAGTCAAGCAGAGAAATATTGGCGCAACTTCTGGTGCTTCAAATTAGGCCCCTCCCTAAGCACTAGTTGAAAAATCTGTGTAATAATTTAAGTTTTATGAATATAAACTGATTATTGTGTGGCACAAATCTAACTGTTGAATGCAAATGACCAAAACTAAACAAATATCTGTAATTTTCGGATTGAACTGATAGAATCGCGTCGTCAATTTCGTATTTAAGTATCGTTACTGTTACATTAACCGAAACTGATGTTCTGCTGCTGTTCTGCCGTACAAATATACAACACAATACACTTTGACCACAAATGCATTGAATGTGTCACATGTATACATGACCATGTGCTTTGCTATTTATAGCGCAACCGTAAATAAGCTCCGCCCACTGTGATTGATGCAGACGCCAAACACGATCGATTCGATTTTTTATGATAAAACTACAGAAAATTTATTGACTTATATCTTGATATGGATCCATTTGTTGTATCCATTCACTTACATCTTCCTTTATCAGGCATTACGTATACGTTCAAGTAACTTAACACTTATCGCCTTCGCTGTTCCTGTATATATCATACTAACAAAATAGTAACTGTGCTTCACATAAAGTTACTGTAAATATATTTATTAAGAAATTAAATAATGCATCTTTCTGTACATGAAAGACATCATTCATGAAGACATCTCCTCGACTCTAAGGTCGTGATTCACAATTTGCAGTGCATGTTCATGCACGGAGCACAATTTCAATGTTTGCGTGTTTGTTGGAGGCATGATATACACACGTGATTTGTTAATGTGAATAGCACACAATGATTGTATCAGGTGCTCATTGTCAGGTGTGGGGTGAGGGTTATGAAGCATAAATATTTTTACCCCACCTCATTTGGAACAACATCCCCGAGGCTGTTTTCAATCATCTGGTGTCGGCATTGCGCCACCGCTACCTCCCCTGTATCCCCACAAATGGTGGTAACACCCGATATTAACATTGTTATAAGTTGTTAGACAAACACTATTTTAGATCTCCTGTTTTCATGTATGGGTTTTGTCAAAGTATGACTCCCATCCTTAACCTAGAACTGAGCCTAATCCTAAACAGAGAACTGACCCTAATCCTAAACAGAGAGCTGGCCCTAATCCTAAACCTGGAGCTGACCCTAATCTTAAACCTGGAGCTGACCCTAATCTTAAACCTGGAGCTGACCCTAATCCTAAACCTGGAGCTGACCCTAATCCTAAACCTAGAGCTGACCCTAATCCTAAACCTAGAGCTGACCCTAATCCTAAACATGGAGCTGACCCTAATCCTAAACAGAGAGCTGGCCCTAATCCTAAACAGAGAACTGACCCTAATCCTAACCTAGAATTGACCCTTATCTTAAACCTAGAGCTGACCCTAATCTTAAACCTAGAACTGACCCTAATCCTAAAACCTAGAACTGACCCTAATCCTAAACAGAGAGCTGACCCTAATCATAAACATAGAGCTGACCCTAAACGTAAACAGAGAACTGACCCTAATCATAAACATAGAGCTGACCCTTATCCTAAACCTGGAACTGACCCCAATCCTAAACCGAGAACTGACCCCAATCCTTAACCTAGAGCTGACCCTAATCCTAAACAGGGAGCTGACCCTAATCATAAACCAGGAGCTGACCCTAATCTTAAACCTAGAGCTGACCAAAATCTTAAACCTAGAACTAACCCTAATCCTAAACAGAGAACTGACCCTAATCCTAAAGAGAGAGCTGACCCTAATCCTAAAACTGGAGCTGACCCTTATCCTAAACAGAGAGCTGACCAAAATCTTAAACCTAGAACTGACCCTAATCCTAAACAGAGAACTGACCCTAATCCTAAACAGAGAGCTGACCCTAATCTTAAACCTAGAGCTGATCAAAATCTTAAACCTAGAACTGACCCTAATCCTAAACAGAGAACTGACCCTAATCCTAAAGAGAGAGCTGACCCTAATCCTAAACCTGGAGCTGACCCTAATCCTAAACCTAGAGCTGACCAAAATCTTAAACTTAGAACTGACCCTAATCCTAAACAGTGAGCTGACTCCAATCCTAAACAGAGAGCTGACCCTAATCTTAAACCTAGAGCTAACCAAAATCTTAAACCTAGAACTGACCCTAATCCTAAACACAGAGCTGACCCTAATCCTAAAACAGAGAGCTGACCCTTATCCTTATACTAGAGCTGACCCTTATAATTTTTATCTATATTCCTCCATAGGAAAGTTACAGCTACTGACCATGCCATGTGTGGTTGGGTGCTGAGTTGGATCTCGTCGAAGTGACATAGATCCAGGTCTGTCTTCAGACGATGGGTCCAGGATGATGTCTGGTGCTCTGCGATCATCTTCTTCACTGTTCGTTTCCACTCTGTTGCTTTGCTACATGCATGTTCCATCCGAAGTCTATTATCAGTCAATGTTGATATACGCCTGCCTTCATTCCCAAGATTAAGTGTATAAGGGTTATATGCTAATCGTTAAGACTACATGTCCGGCGAGAGAAGTAAACATTATTTTGTGATAACATTCTCTCCGAGAAAACTTATGTCATTTTAGTCATTTCTGCAAACCCATGTCCTTCAAAACTTTGAGGTAACCTCTAAATTCAGACAGTCAGCACATTAGATTAGCAACATTGTGTAGGTATTGTTTAAGTTAGTGATAATTGAACATGCGACCATGACCTAAGAGCATCTGTGGTATAATTAACAGTCTTTATTCAGGGTACCTCACTGATGAGATATACCGAATAAAGACATGCCACTAATAGATGCTTCTCTTTGTTGTCGTAAGGTGTGCGGTTCCAAGCTAATTCCCCGACATCAAATTCTAGGTATTATAATCAGCCTAGACCAAACGTAAACCTTAAAGGTATTATACAGGTCATAAGGTTTATTATAAATGGTGGAGAATCCGGGTAGTGTGAGTTTGCTGTGACTCATGCACGACCCCCCTACCAACCTACCGCAGCAAAGCAAATGGTAGTTCAGAGGTGATGGGTGAAAAAAGCAGCGTAGACGCCATCTTGACAGACGACAGGCAGACAGCCCAGCCTACCTGAATGTCAGCAGCCTGAACCAGCAATCGTGATAATTATTGACAATAACATCCAGACAATATTCATGTAATCATGCGAGTACATCAACTTCCAACCATGCTACAACACTCAAGACTCTTCAGCATGTGCCTGCCGATATTTGTGTGTGACAATACATACACAAAGAAAAAAGTTAAGCACACCCCTATTTCTGAACCATGACAAATGGCAAAAATCATGGCATGGGATAACTGATCACAGGAGCTGGGCCATACCAATGTCATCGGATAGAACATACATTTGACATCAAATAAAGAAGATATTGGTAAGTTGTGATTGAAATTTACTGACAAAAACATCATTGTAACACAAGTACTGTTTTTGACTTTAGCCAATACCTAAAAAAAGTATGGAGCTACAGGATTAAGTAAACGAGTTACATTTGATGTTTCATGTGAAAATGTTCCTTCAAGTCTCTACTTGACATGACACGTGAAACAGATCAGTAGCGGGTGTAACTGCCACGTGCCCGGATGACGCATTCCACCCTACGTCTCATGCCTCCAGTCAGACTTGGATCTGTTGATGGGTCAACAACAACCACTCCTGATGCAATGCTGCTTCCAATTGGCGTAAATCTTGTACAGGAGGATCTCGTGCCTGTATGCGCCGCCCCAGAATATCCCAAACATGTTCAAGGGGGTTCAAATCTGGGCTCATTGCTGGCGAGGGTAGAGTCGTTATTGCATTTGCCCTCATGTAATCCACGACTGTATGCAAACGATGAGGCCTGGCATTGTCATCCATGTACTGAGGTCGAGTAGCAAGATGGTGTTTGTCAAAATGAGTAACAACGACTTGCCTCAAAACGTCCCGGATGTACTGAGCCCCTGTTCAGTTGCCCCTGATGGTGACCAAATCCAACCTGCAATCATGAGAGGTACACGCCCAAACCATTACCGAGCTCCCGTCATTTATTCCTTTTTTAGTATGTAAGCACTGAAATTATTTGTACCCATTATGAAAACAGATAAAATGGTTCCATGTAGTAGCAGCGATTGTAGAAGTATAATAAGTTAGGGATCCTCCTTGATTATCAAGCTTATTAAGTGGAGGCTGTGTATACGGGCTGTATCCTAACTCTTTGTTTTGTCAGCGTGATTTTGTGCTTCATAATGATAGCAGCGAAATTGATGTACATTCGTGCGATCAAACCTTTAATGGTCTCGGGCACAAAAAAATATGATTCGTTCAAATATCATTACATTCCAGTTTAGACTTAAGAAGTTGGTTAGGTTTTGCATGCACATTCTACTTTTTAGCGCAGGTCACACCTCACACCTGCTAGCCTTGCCGAGTCTGGACTCTTACTGTTATCATGAAAATATTACTTTCATATGCAAACGACAATGCTTTACGCACATTATGTTTTTGTTTCTACGTCTTCAGTGTATCTTATGTTTATTGTCTGTTTCAACGTGATACCTGTGATACTAAATGCAACCAGCAGTCTTGTATTTCGACTGCAAGGGCGACCGCAGACAGGATGTGCCGCTCGGTGGAAACTCTTCCAGTGTTCTTTGTGTATGAGCCGGAATCTCCGCTCACCTGTATTTTGTGTGTACGAGCCGTAACCTCCTCAACTTGTTGATGTCATGAATAGTTGTTTCACGGATATTGACAATGCTGTTATTCACTTGTTTACTTGTACAAGCATGTATATCTTATCTAATGTCATTTTATTCATCTGAGTCACGACCAGTGCTTGGAACAACTACTTGTCAACCTGTTGATGTCACATGCATTTTACTGTATACTTGTACTAAATATTGTCACTATTTTTAAAACGCCCTTGAGGACAAAATCTCCATGACGTTCAGGGGTATTGTTATAGTGCAAACCATTTCAATACTTTTTCTTAATTTATCCAAAATACCTAATTGTTTCAATATGTTTCTAAAATGCACCGAAATTCTATTCCCATTGTATACAGCAGACAATCTTACTTACTTGAATTGGGAATTTAACGTGCGCTTTCCGACATATGCTTATTTCGCGCACGGGCCCGCAAGGCCATTTAGTGTTTGGTGGAAAAAGGTATGTCCGAAAAGGCGAGGCAACCTAGGTGGGGCTTTTACGGTTGCTTACTTAATTTGGGGGGGGGCTTAGGTGCAGTTTGTGTGTTTTTATAGGTTTAGAATTTTAGGGTTTATTGGCAGTTTGTTTGCTGTACTTTTTTTAAAATGTGGCCAAGTAGGCCTGTTTTGATTAGATATATGCCTAGTGCTTTGATTGTTGCAATTTTGTGTGGATTGGGGTGTTGTTTCTGTGTTGCTGGTAATGTGTGCAATATAGCATTACGTGTTCAGGCGTTTCTTTTAAGTTGCAGTGGAGGCATTTACCGGTTTGGTGTTTTGAAATTTGGTGAAGGTGTGAGTTTAACTTAGCAAACACTCGGCGTATCTCCTCCAATTATAAGCAGGACCTTTAATGCACCTCCAGGCGGGACGTTTAATCCGTAGCGCTATCTATTAATGTCTATTAATGCCAGAGAATACACAGAAGCGGGTCCCCGCACCGGGAACATTGACCACTCGGTCCCGATGTGCGTTACATTATTATCAACCTGTACCCTATCGATTTATACCAACCCATCAACAATAAACATGTCTGCTGTCGTCTTAAACTTCACCCCTGAGTTTTGTCTTCAGTCATCGCCCTGAGCTACCATCCGAGGGCCGAAACGTACGCCCTTAGACACTTACATAAATAGAACATTTGGTATCCATTAAAATTATTCATATCAAACAATCAACATTCAAGTTGGCAATTTTAGTAAAAAATATAAATTTACTTTACAACAACATCTCATACTATAGATTATCATCAACAGCGTGGGGCGCATCTTGCAGTTAACAAACGGAGTGAGAGTTTGGTGTTGGATCATTTACAACAACCCTTATTGAGTTATTGACTCAAACCGCAACTCGGTGTGTATGACATTGTAATATTGTTTGGTTTTTATATACATTTTTGGGGCGGTGATTATCTATGGTTAAAACGTTCGCTTGTCACGCCGAAGACTTGGATTCGATTGCCCATACGGGAACAGTGTGTGAAGCCCATTTCTGGTGTTGACATTGCTGGAATATTGCTTATAGCATAAAAAACCCAACCAAATCAGCATGTAGTGGAGCACAATAGGTACCCATGGGTACACCTACCTCTTGTTGAAATGTTCTAGTCCCAAATGTCACATAGATTGCACCTAGGAGGAAGTCCAGCATCTCACGTACATCGCCAGTCAGGTATGCTGGGATTTCAATAAATTTGGCTGTAGCAGGGTCAACTGTAAGTACACTCACAAATGCGGTAAGTGTGGCAAACATTCCCATAGCTCTAGGACCTGCTTTCGAGGGAATGGGGTCCAACCGACCCCATACAAGCCCAATCAGCCTTTTGCCTAACAGAAAACCAGCCGTCAAGGCAGGTAAATTCAATGGCCCCTTCCCCCGTGGATCTCAATGAAATGGCACCCTGGTTACGCCAATATGCTAGGGTCAATTACAGAGATGCAAATTATTTATGGGTAGGTTTTAGCTCTGGCTTTAAGCTCGAGTTCCAGGGAAGCCGCACGGGTCGCCTGGCACGAAACTTGCGTTCAGCCACGCACCAAGACACGGCAGGCTACGTGAAACAAAAACTACAAAAGGAAGTCGACCTTGGCAGGATGGCGGGCCCCTTCAAGGACACCCCCCTAGACAACCTCCAAGTATCCCCAATAGGCCTGGTGCCCAAGAAGCAGCCAGGATATGGTCAGCACCTGGGTAAGCATGCGGAGGAATTCCGTCTAATTCACCATCTATCCTATCCCAGGGGTAAATCTATAAATAACTTCATAGACACAGAGGCCTGCTCCGTTGTGTACGCCAGATTTGATGAAGCTACCCATATGGTTCAACAACTGGGAAAGGGAGCACTACTAGCAAAATTCGACATTCAGTCGGCCTTTAGAATTATACCAGTCCACCCATCCGATTTCGAGCTGCTAGGCATCAGATTCGAAGGTGAGTTCTATTTCGATAAATGCCTACCATTTGGCTGCTCCATATCTTGCGCCATATTTGAAACGTTTAGTACCTTCTTGAAATGGTGCATGCAATCGCATCTTCCAACGTGTCAGATCATGCATTACCTGGATGACTTCCTAACGGGGGGCACAGCAGGCACCAGCCACTGCTCAGACAACCTCAACGGATGCGTGAATACACTAGAACAGCTTGGGGTTCCTACTGCGCACGACAAGACGGTGGGCCCCACAACCAAACTGACATTCCTAGGGCTGGAAATCGACACCATTGCAATGCAGATCAGAATCCCAGAGTCCAAGATCAAGGAGGCAACAAGGGAAATCCAAGACATCCTGTCAACAGGTAACATCAAGGTCACAAAAAAGGGCCCTTCAGTCCCTCATAGGCAAGCTTAACTTTATGTGCAGGGCTATACCAATGGCAAGGGCATTCAGCCGCAGGCTAACCGATCTGCTTAGCAAAGGTAAGCAACCATTTCACCACATTAGGATTACCAGCTGGGTCAAGGAAGACCTAAAATGTGGTTAACATTTCTTACGAGTTATAAAGGCATTTCAGTGTTTCAGGACCAACTATGGGTGGACAGCGATTTCCTCCAGCTGTTTTCAGACGCAGCGGGTGGCGCCGGCTTTGGGGCCTACATGCAGGGCAAATGGTTTAACGGCGCATGGCCACCCCAGTGGGTGACGGATGGAACTACACGGGACTTGACGCTACCTTGACATGGTGGCATCAATCCTTCGGATACAACCCCAGCTTCCTGACACCAAGATCATCGTATCCTCAATGCTGCACAGGCGCTACTGGCACGATGCCAGGGACCCACTAAAGATCGAGGGGATGCGGAAGAATATCAACCGTCGACTGGCCAACCGAGTCAAAGAGCTCGGCGGTACAATGGTGCCACATCCCCAGATCCTGGCATCAGACAAGACATGGAACGCCTGGGAGGGCGTCCACCTCAGTAACAAAGGACTGTGTGTGTTTACGGACAATTTATTGCAAGCCCGGGCGCTTGTTATCTCCACAGGTTTGTGTTTCCTTTCAGTACATAGGCAAGCCGGGCAACAATGCTATCTCCGCGTATCGCGTGGCCGTGGGTGTGGGGTAGCACTCTGGTGCTTTGTGGCGGGGTTCTTGTGGGCTACACTGCTAGTAACAAATTAACTTGCTTCCAAAATAATACTCGTGCTTAAGGCTACCTGCTTTTCAGCGGGAACCTTTTCGGGGTTACCTGCTTCTCAGTGGGAACCTTGTCTTTCCCGACTTTTCAGCCGGGGAATCGTAAAATAACATACGTTGGGGCAAACAATTGCCACGTATATGGGCCCGGCGGCGGAAGTCGTCTTGTCAAGCGGTAGCTGACAGTTGGGTCCGCGGCGCGGGAGCCGCACAATGGTTTTGCTAATGGGGCCGGGCAGTGGGATCTGCTTTGGCCGGCTACCTGGGGCCGGGCAGCGGTAGTCTGACTTAGGCCAGCAGCGTGGAGCTGCTTTTGGCAGCGTGGGAGTTTCCAAGCAATGGTAGCGGTTAAATATGCTACCGTGGGGGCCGGACAGCGGAAGCAGTCTCAGGCCAGCAGCGCTAGCTGCAATCGCCGTTGGCCACGCGCGTGGCCATGGCAACGGTAGCATTTTGGTATACACAATTAGCAGCTAAGTAGCCCACTAGTACCTGCACACCCTCGGCCATTTAACCCAATCTCATCTTCTGTTTTTATTATAGGCACGGGCATCCACGGCTCGGTGGCCCGTGCCTCTCCTTGGCATATCGCGGGATAATGCTTATAGCATATAAAACCCAACCAAATCAGCTCGTAGTGGAGCACAATAGGTACCCATGGGTACACCTACCTCTTGTTGAAATGTTCTAGTCCCAAATGTCACATAGATTGCACCTAGGAGGAAGTCCAGCATCTCACGTATTTATTTCTCGGTAACTTCAGACACTTGATTTCATATTTGACAAATTATCCGGAAAATAGAGACACCGCAACGTTTATTGAAAATGGCCCAAGGATTACAGAATAAAGGTTTTCCTTTGGTTTGTCGTTTGGAACAGTGGAGTACAAAGTGAAAATCAAATGTTTTGACATAATTGAACTTGTGTCTTTATTGAGACATCAAGCAAATCAAGCAAATCCTTTGAGATTTTGAGAATCTACACATACTACTTCCACTTGTCAAAAATACTTTCTGTGAACAGAAGAAAGGCCTTCCCTGGTCGTACCAATGATTATGGTAATCTTTGAGACATTTGCTAGACCCAGCAATATTTGTCTCTGTGTATGGATATTTTCGGAGCTTTGAAATCCAGTACAAAAGAGGAATTGACACGTCTTCGGGTTTTAGTGTCAAGCCAAAGGCTTATAGTACATATGTTTTGATGTGGCAGATTGTTTCCTCAGTTAACAAACTGGGCTTTTATGTGGCATTATTTCATCTGTCATTTATACCAAGTTCTTGATCAAACAATTAATGTAGTGATGCTAACATGTAATGTTTATGATATGGTGAGGCACTGTCAGTGGGAACACCTGGAAGCTTTTTACTTTGGGCAGCCAAAATTTGGTTAACAGCTGTATGGGGCAGAATGGGTTCATTCGAATTATGTTTCCACATTTTCAGTTTGTGCATAATACCAATGATAACATCATACACAGATTTAACCCTCTCTGCAAGACATTCAACAGGTGCCTATCTCTATCGGTCCAATGTTGGGCAAAATATCGACAGCACCCATAATGAATTTAAAGTTGTGATCCCAGTTGGTATCAAATGATTTTGTGAAATACTTCGATTTGCTCACAGAATTGGGATGAATCTCAGATTCTCCCAAATTATAATTAATGCTTTATGGTTACATTAGTCGTGTGGTTGGGATTCACCAAGGTGTAAGCGTCAATAGAACCTCCATTACGTTAGGCCGTTCTTCTCCGTGAAGATGGAACGCCTAGGATTGAATAACTGTTAGGCTGTTCACGTTCACACACTCATTCACTCCTAAGTCTCACACAAGCCATCTTGGTAAAACTTCTCTGAACATTGAACTGAAACATTTTCTCCACTGCGCCATGAATACATCTCTTGAGGGGGAAAAGAGTTATTTTTTATATTTGTATTTAAAGTAGTTCCGCCCGGGATTTAGCTTGGATTAGTGTAAGTCCGAACAATGTCAAACGCACCATAGTCCTGATAATTCACAAGTAAAATCTATAAACATTAATAATAAAGGAATACATATATACAGTTTCTGGTCATCTGAAGCTCGTAAGTTTGTGTGAAAAGCCCAAAAGGTTTGACAAACAAACTGTATTGTGAACATCTACGGGCTAAATGCCCTTATTTAACTATTTACAAAAATTAATTCTTGAAATTGAATTCTTAATTTTAATCAGAATTACTTGAACACTGCATATGAAATTGGTTCCTTTTCTCATTGTCTATTTACTAATAGGAACTTGCTGTGCTGTTGGTAATTCAGCTTCACCTACATCTATCCTTACTTGAATACTACAACATACTACTACAACCTCGCAAGTGTATCATTGGTCATTGGTGCTGAAGAATCATCTTGTCAATCTTCTAAAATATTTATCATGCCTAAAGATATACTGGCAATATTTCCCTAAAACGATGTCATAATATCTGTTAATTGAAATGTGTTGAACGCAGATTGTGTTTCTGAAACGTACATATTTGTCAACCTTTCCCTGAAACTATTTTTTCCACAAATACAAAATACACTTTTCGTTATCTGTGGTAGAAGACCAAAGTACAAACAACAAGTGTTAATAAGTGTTGACTATTTATTTAACAATATCGATATTCATTTTTTATTCAGTTAATGTGTTTGACATTATATTGTACTTAACGTTTCTTCTTGTTCAAAATTACCATGATTTTGGTGACAATCCAAGAGCAATGGGAAATGCGATTATCAAAGAACGCTCTGTTGCCACGAAGGATATCAACGACACTGTGAATTTCACGCGTACACTTTATAGGGGTTGTCCTTGAGAATGAGATCACCTTTGTACAGGAGAATGTCACGATCCTTTGATACCCGATTCACTTTATAACTGGGCAAGTCGAACCTGAATGCATAATCTACTCGCCCTCTTCTCAAGTTAGCCTCCCATCCGCCTTGGTAGTTGTTTTTAGCAATTGCCGCCTTGCCCGAGGCAGGACCCATTCCAGTGCCATACACTCCTGAAATCATTAGAGATTGTCAGTAAGGCGCTGATACAAACAGTTCTCGGTGACGCTTCCTTGATCCAAAAATTGTGTACGTCATTAAAGCCAAAATATGAAGTGTTGTTATGATGAAAGTCTAATACTCGTTCACAGCTTTCATACAAAATAACGTTTATTTTTAACATTTTGAAATTTCTGATAGCATGCAGACCCCGTTGGAAAAGGGCCCATCTGATACCCCCTCTTTCCTTGACAGGATATTTAAATGTTTATCATTTTGACATAAAGGTAACGTTTACCAATGATATAGTACAAAAGACGTTAAAAGATTATACTTGTTCTTGCGCTCGTCGATAAGGGGGTAAAACAAGGACTGTTCAGTATACTGTGTCTGAGTGGGGTATCCATGTTGAACTACGGTATGGTATCTCAGTGGGCTGGCACTATAAAAGCGGCATTAGTGTGGAATCACACACACACACACACACACACACAGGTACATGCGTGTCCCTATAAATATGCATGTAATCCTGAACCTCGCGTTTGTAATATGATTTGCATTATACATACCTTTTCCAAAATGAGCGTATCTCGGATTTGTGCTCTGTCGTATGTAGCCACTCTTTTCTATAGCGTCCGCGCCAGCTTCGTCCGTGTAGTGATAGAAGACTGTGGCATACCCAGGGGTGACTGAAAATATAATTGTTCATGAACAATTGATGACGGCAATTAATTAGAAGTATTGGCTCATGTAGAACTATTGCAGCCACTGTAAATGTCGATACGATTATCGGTATTATGATCTGTCAGCAGTTGTCATAATACCAGCTGAAACAAATACCACAAACACAGTGGTCTTCTTGGCCTTTTCACCGAAATTACAACAAATTGTTATCATACTCACGGGATATCAGCAAAAACACGATCTGGAGACAGATACACTGCGTCTTCAATTCCATCTTGGTACTGTGCAAACATATTGACAATATATCATTTGCACTCAGCAATATGACAGCACTCCAGTTATATGACGGCGATCTGCGAATAATCGAGTTTGGACCAGGTAATCCAGTGATCGGTATCATGAGCATCTGTCCACGCAATTGGGATACAATGCCATGCTATCATCCATGTGGTCGATGCATTTAGTCGCCTCTTATGACAAGCTGGGTTGCTGGTAGACAATTTTTAAGGTGGACCTGTTAGATATGCAAGGATATTCCCTGGGAATAGAAGGGTGTATTTCCATTCGGACTTCCAATCCATTGTACAAGTTGACAATATTTCAAGGACCAAGGAATGTCCTTGCATATCTATACTGTCCAGTCCACTTGGCTGTATATATGCCTAAGGACCTTAGGCCAGGTAGTCACCCCTACTGTTGTTTCTAAACTAGCCTGTTGTGTAACGTTGTTCCCTTCCTTTTTAGTTTCAAAATGATTTCTACCGAAACTTAAATATTTGTAAAAACGTAATTCATTGAAAATAGGGCGACAATAAGAATAACGTACTCACATCAATCAACAGATAATGTGACTTATATCGATGGTATATCTTACAGGGTCGCCAGGACACGTCTTCAGTAACCCTTGCCGTAAAAGGCGACTAAGGTTGTCGTAAGAGGCGATTAACGGGATCGGGAGGTCAGGCTCGCTGACTTGGTTGATGCATGCATCGTATCCCAATGCTCATAATGCCAATCAATGGATTGTCTGGTCCAGACTCGATTATTTACAGATCGCCGTCACATAGCTGGAATATTGCGTGAGGCGTGAAGAAACAAACAAATAAAACAGGGTCACCAGTTTGCGACTATTTTAAGAGCTGATATCGAGCTGGTGTGGATCTAGTGATTCAAGATAGTTATTTAAACGGTTTCCATAATAATTTCAATACCTTTTTTCTGCTTGTATTTCTATCCCTTTTCCTGTCAGCTGTCTTAATTATATTTGCTGTATAGGTGCAGTGGAAGCCGTTAATCCCAATGTATATATTTCCTGATTTACAAATTATTGGTTAGTAGTAATGCAACATTTATTATATGAAGACTTCCGGCCTGGAGGTGTTTCACTGTATGAAGAGAATGGTTGGAAGTGATTTTACATAATGTCATAATGCAATAAAAATGCAACAACAATGAAAATGCAAAGATACATTTGCCGTGTTTATGCCAGGTGTTTTGGGCGAGATATCTTTTCTGTATGCATCACTGACTTCTGTCCCATCAAGGCTGATGCAACCACTAGTTTCTGCATGGATAAATTGCATGCCTTCTGATCTAGTTTTGATATCACATCTATGAGATAATGATTGCTGTTGTACTGTCCTTCGTTTTTCATCACCCTTTAGCCATGGCCCTTTGATGGAGATGAACCTAGGGTGGATGTGTGACTGGTGAGTATAGTAAATTATGCAAGTTATGTGAGTGGCTGGTGCTACCAGTAGGCCAGGAGGTAGGCTTACCTTTCGTAAACACTTGGTGTCACTACTGATTTTCAGTGATCCATTCATATTGTCAGCGCTATTTCGCCTCTCACGCCCAATTGAATCCGTTTCGGCAGATAACCGAGTATGATGTTTTATATTGACATGTATCTAGTATCACACTTTGAGTTGGGTGATCTAGACGATGTTTGCCATAAATAACACAAGATCGGCCACAACAAATTATTTAGACCATACGTTTGACGTGTATCCGGTGCAGGCCAAGTCTAACCTACCAGGTCTCTTCAGCGGATTGGGTAAAATGTCCTGCTCTATATCGGTGTTACAACCTACACCGGAACGTCGCTTCTTATATAGAAATGTCCAACCACGTTCCTTATCGTCAGAAAATATTTGTTGTTTCAATGAAGACATACCTCAGCCACTTACATCAAACAATGCAAGAGAAATCAGAACAGAAGCAGTTCTTACCTTGTTACTCAGAACAACAAGCACTGTAGTGTTCGACTGAATCAACATATTTATATGTTTATTATGAATACATAAATTGAACATATGGTATCAATTAAATTCTTCCTCACACAAAATAAAAATTCGTAATGACAAAATTTCAATATGTTTAAATCAACTGCACTACAATAACACATACTAAAGATTATACATATTTGTCATGAAGGGACGGAGACACGCCGAGCAATTAACAAACGGAGTGAGTGGTAGTTTGGGATTTATTGTCATTAATAACAAATCCAATAACGTCAGAATAAAATCCGTCTAAATGTGTTTCCCAGCAAAATGGCATTATCACAGGGGTACCAGCTGCTGAAAGATTTCTGCGTTATTTGAGGCGCCATCATGCTTGCTATGGTCATTGTAATTCTTATCCATTCAATTCTGATGCACTAGTTTGCCGTTTGTCAATGTTATTGCACTTTAACATTATGCAATGCTTGTCATGTCTAATTGGTGATAACCGAAACCTGTGTCTGGTAATATGGTTATCAGGTTGAGAATGTTGAGATAAATATAAATCACTGTATATGTGTGGATGTCGGCCCTTTAATATGTGTCCCCATGTTGGTTGCGCGTTCGAATCCCCAAACACGCAATTGTATTCATATTTTATACTGGTGTCGGAAGTGAAGTCAAGGTAGCTACATGGTTAATCGGCTGTTATTTCATTATCTGCGCAGTGTTATACTCACGTTGCTGAATTATCCTTCCTGTGTGTAGTGTTGAAAACGATCCTTGTTGAATCCTTTCATTGTTGGCCCAGTCGTCTCAATTCGCTGTGCACAGTTGCGCCCCTTGTGAGTGCCAGGAACATATGGTCGCGGAAAATCCAAGATTCGCCCTGAGAGAACGCGAAGGCCCATATAACTGTACACTGAGAACAACTCCAGAATGTGCCTGTGTCAACCCCATACAGAGCCCCAGCACCGGGTCTAACACAACATGTAACTCCAGACCATACGGACATGTTGTGCCTGTGTCACCCCAATACAGAGCCCCAGCACCGGGTCTAACACCACACTTAACTCTAGACATGTTGTGCCTGTGTCATCCCCATACAGAGCCCCAGCACCGGGTCTAACACAACATCTAACTCCAGACCATACGGACATGTTGTGCCTGTGTCACCCCAATACAGAGCCCCAGCACCGGGTCTAACACCACACTTAACTCTAGACATGTTGTGCCTCTGTCATCCCCATACAGAGCCCCAGCACCGGGTCTAACACTACATCTTACTCCAGACCATACGGCCATGTTGTGCCTGTGTCACCCCAATACAGAGCCCCAGCACCAGGTCTAACACCACACTTAACTCTAGACATGTTGTGCCTGTGTCATCCCCATACAGAGCCCCAGCACCGGGTCTAACACCGCATCTAACACCAGACCATACGGACATGTTGTGCCTGTGTCACCCCAATACAGAGCCCCAGCACCGGGTCTAACACCACACTTAACTCTAGACATGTTGTGCCTGTGTCATCCCCATACAGAGCCCCAGCACCGGGTCTAACACTGCATCTAACACCAGACCATACGGCCATGTTGTGCCTGTGTAACCCCCATACAGAGCCCCAGCACCGGGTCTAACACCCCATCTAACTCCAGACCATAGGGACATGTTGTGCCTGTGTCAACCCCATACAGAGCCCCAGCACCGGGACTAACACAACATCTAACTCCAGATTATACGGACATGTTGTGCCTGTGTCACCCCAATACAGAGCCCCAGCACCGGGTCTAACACCACACTTAACTCTAGACATGTTGTGCCTGTGTCATCCCCATACAGAGCCCCAGCACCGGGTCTAACACTGCATCTAACACTAGACCATACGGCCATGTTGTGCCTGTGTAACCCCCATACAGAGCCCCAGCACCGGGTCTAACACCCCATCTAACTCCAGACCATAGGGACATGTTGTGCCTGTGTCAACCCCATACAGAGCCCCAGCACCGGGACTAACACAACATCTAACTCCAGACCATAGGGACATATTGTGCATGTTTTGTGTTGTTTTTTTCTGTTTTAAGTTTATCTTGGAATTTTTGGCTAAAGTTGGTGTTACTGCTAAGGGCCGAAAAGTGGTTGGCGAGATTATTTACTTTTTGGGCGGGGTTGGTTGAGTTTTTAATGTTGGGGGCTTTTAGAGCTGCTTACTTAATTTGGAGAAGCCGTCACTAGTCAATTAAGTAATTAACGGACAATTGCGAGTGATAATACCCACTCGACACTAATTGCCCTGTTAATCCCTAATCCACAATGAGTTGACATTGAGTTCGTCTTGCTGATGAGCTGTTGTGATCGTAGCGAGATGATTTACACCAAAGGTGGGGCAGGCATTGATCATATGTTCTGTAGAAGAGATGAGGTCACTTGTTTAATGTTTATTTAGGATTAGCTACATCCTTGATGCTACCAAGGCCGCCTTTGAGATTATCAGACAGTTTGTCTGGACACAACCTGTACTTAATGGATTCTCCCTTGTAGCAAACTACATGTCAGGCAAGGACATTGGCCACTCTATGCAGATGCATAACAATGCATAGCAATGCATAAAGAACTTGGGGTATGATTTAATTATGTCACGCAAGTCAAAGTTGGATTCCACTGTATTTAGAAACAGACGATAGATCCAATACTGTTTAACTTTATAACACTCAAATGAGTATTCGAATAGGAAATATACACATTTATTTACAATTACCATTGAAAAGTTCCAAAACCGAACAGAACTACTTAATTGTGATTACACTTTGCCAGAACAATATATTTGGCAGTTTTTCGTGTAATTGTTAATCTTCATATTAAATTAATTTTCAAAAACGATAGGGTAAATGATAAAAATATGATAATGACTTTACTCATGAATATTGCCAGTAGCCGAATTAAGGTCAGAACAAACAGGGAAGGCCACCCAAATATATGACAGTCTCTAGGGAAGGTTTATGAAAAATGGATAATAAAATATAAAGTGGTTTGCATTTTTCCTTTTCTGGGAGAGTCGTGTAAAAATGTATAAGAACATACCAGTACATGACCGGTCCCTAAAATGTTATATACATAGTTTTTAGTTGATGGTTCAGGTAGTTCTTTTCAGTTGAATTTTTTTATCAGTGTCTATTCTGGCCTACCAATTAATGGTAGATATAAAATATCAATAATAAGTGAGATTATTATTTCCAATGTGGCTCCCATTGCAACTAAAGCAAGGAACGATTCAAATTTAGCCTGATTCAGCTGCTTCATTGAAATGTATTTGCTCCTCTAATTCAATCAGTTGTATAATGACTTGATATTTGGCGAAAATATCTGTTGTATGATATCCTAATGTTACTTTCTTTTGTATTTGGGATGATAGGGTAGCCTAGTGGGTAAAGCGCTCTCTGAAGCCCCGGGTTCTATTCCCCACATCGGTACTGTGTGAAAACCCATTTCTGGTGTCCCCGTCGAGATATTGCTAGAATATTGCTAAAAGCCGTGTGAAACTATACAAACTTGCTCACTCATTATATAGTATTTTGAGATGACTTACATGACTTGTGTGATTGACAATTTTGATAGTTATGAATGGTTCTGTTTTTATGTATAAGAACCTATTTTATGCAATTTTGCATTGCCTTGTTTACCCTTCCTTGTTCATGTAATGCAAACATTCCAGAAAAACTTCAGGTGAGCCTTGTGGCACTACAGGAATTGTTTTTAGAAGATCAGATACAATTTTGTATTTTCTGTAAAATTTACGGTTTGCTATGGCTTATTTAGATGTTCTAAGATTGGTTACCATGGTTAAATATCAGTTGCTTGATAAATTGTCATGACCTTACTGATCGAGAAAACAACTTTTTACCCTTTGTCAAAACATGTGTGTTTCTTATAGTTTTAATAACAAGCTTTTAAAGATGTTATAACTTGTTTCAGGTACCTGGATTTCACAGTGACACCAGCTCAGATAAGTCATACAAAGGACTCAACGGATGATGAATAATCCTCCCCAGAACAACCAACAGGTTCACCTCAGAAAGTGATTATTCTGAATGAAAAATGCCACATCAGTGTGATTCTGTGGGTTGTTTTATTACGACGCTAATCAAATCTGAAGGAATTGATACCACAGCAGTGTGACTATGTTTATGTGGTGTACACCGACACTGACTATACAAATCTGAATGACTTTTGTGGTTTACTGCACAAACATAATTGACTTCTACTTTGAAATTCTTCTGACACTTGACTCATGTGTTTATTTAGAAAATGGCATTGAAGCATCTGTTTCTGTTTTTGAAAGTTCTTGCAAACGCCTCTGGTTACTGAACCAATGAACTGTCATAATAAAATCAATAAATATGATTTTTTATCTAAGCAAATTCTTTGTTTTGCTTCATTAGCATAAAGGAATATAATATTGATCAGCCATAACATAGGTGCTGAACATTTATCAAATATACTAATGCCCTGAATGTTTTCCTACAATTAATACATCTCACCGAACAAAGTTTTTAGTTCCATGTCAGTAGAAAAATGACATTGATATTTTTATGTACCGATACTTTATTAGGTGTTTTCTGTGGATGCCACAAGTCTTATGCATCTACTTGGGGCAATTATATTCTGTTGCAAACTTCAATGAAACTCGTCTGTCTAGATGTACCAAGTACTGATACCGTTCCAAAATAATCTTTTAATCTCACCAGGAACAAAGGCCCAAGTGAGCACACAGCCAATGACTTTTTGTTTTTTGTTTCAGAGTGAGTATGGTGTTATGTCATTTTGAGCAATATTCCAACAATATCATGATGGGTGACACCAAGCAATGGGCTTCACTCATTGTACCGATGTGGTGAATCGAACGCTTCAACCACTAGGCTAGACAAAACTGGGAATATGAAGATGAAATTTAAGGATATCATCACACCAGGACAGATAGTTTTTCATTCAATACTCTGAACATCTAAAATGAAATATATATGAAATTGAAGATGTTTTCACCAAAAGAACATGCCCATTGATCTCAAATGTAAGGGGATATTTTCAACTAAAGTAACACAGAATATTACAACAGCTACCTGATATGCCCAGGCTAACATTATTTACTAGAAAAAAGACATCTCGAAAAAAAAGTGCATCCGGATACCTGCCGGATACCTTCAGCAATGTTCAGTTTTCTTGGTTAGTTTCAAATATATTTTTAGGTGTTTCACACTTAATGAAACTCAGAATGAGGTATCTGCTGCCGGATCCTTGGACACCCAGATTGAGGTATCCAGTGAGGTATCCGGTGCCGGATACCCGGATTCCAGGAGGCATGCTTTCCGGTGAGGTGTCCAATGACGATTACCACGGATCTGGTATCCGGCAAGGCATTTGCCACCGGATACCCTGATGCGTTTTGAATAAGTGAAGGCATCCGGATACCGGAAACTGCATTTTTTGCCGTGAGTTGGCAAGCTATATAAAACCGGCATTACTACTCACTAGTGCACACACGCACACGCACGCGCACGCGCACGCGCACGCGCACAAACAGCCTCACACACGCGCACACGCGCACACGCGCACACACAACCGCTTACACTAACCCTAAAAATAACACTACATGTACATGCAGGTCGCTATATGAGTGCAGTAATCTTGAGCGCAACGTACGTTAAAGCCAATTTCATCTTGGTTCATTAGAATTAGTCCAGTCTTCACGTTAGGCTGCACTAAAAGAGGGGTAATTTGGGCTGTCTTTTGTGATATTAAACCATTAAATGGCAGTAAATGCATTAAGTTAATGTTACACATAATATGTATATGTTAATTAAATACATATTAATATGAATCAGAACATAAAATATGCAAGTAATTATAATAAGCATGCAACGTGCAAGAAAAACTTTAAACATGAGATCCCAAATACTCTATATACAATACTGGATTATGTATGTTGTCTGTGATGTATTTTGTATTGTTTCAATTGTTTGCAGCATGTTCGAGTGGATGAAGAAGTACATTTATTATGTCAATGTGTCAGTGACATATTGTTTATCGTGTGAGCGTTGTGATAAACACACTGACGAGTACATAAGGAACACGGAGTACAATTGTTCAGCTGTATGTTAAGAATTACGCAACACTGTCACGTAAATCATTATATCACTGAAACATGTGAGAGTTGTGATAAATACACTGACGAATAAATAAGGAACACGGAGTACAATTGAAGGTCAATATTTACTGCTGAGCTGAGTTAGTAACAAACTAAGCCACTGAGTGTCATGTTGGTAACTGGTCTGTTCTCTACATTGCCGACACCTCTGCTTTTCAGAATAATACATACATTGTGTACATCCTGCACTCATCTTATGTTGTAGCACGTAATATTCTTAATCTATCTTTCTGATTCAGTTTGTAAAGTAATAAAACTTTTAATAATGCAAATGCGACCATATCCTCGTTCACTTCTAGGCAACCTGGATGACCTCCCAGACGTAGTCGTCAAGTTGAAGGTCACCGCCAGTGTAAATCAAGATATCCCGCTTTGACCCAACTTCTTTAACCTGGGACTTTGGTAGCTTCACCTCGATTGCCCATGCCGCTCTCATGAGCATCCCCTTGTTTAGGTTGACAATACCATCCCAATTGTTCCAGGCTATTTTCTTGAGTCCTTCAGACGGAGATAGGCTTGTTCCGTACACACCTGTAAACAATTACACTGGAATGAATGAGCAGTTAGAAATCAGTGAGTACTGGAACACCGAGGCACATTTCTTACTGCAGTAGGCTTGCAATAGTTATTACGGTACGTGTTCAGGCATGATATAAATAGGTTTGAAATTGTTAATACGATACTTGTGCAAACATCATATAAATATTACAGCAGTATGGCGAAAATATGAAGAATTCCTTCCCACATTCCTTGCATTATTTGATAAGTTCAAGATTCCTTTGGAAGATGATAGGAGACGGTTTTGTAGGAGATAAACATTATATTTTCAGATTTTCTGGTCTCCTTGAGTATTCTATGCACGGGATCAAATTAAACGAAACGCTCAAAATATTTATTTTTCAATGTTTGATAAAATCGTTTTGAATGGATACACTGAAATAAGGTGCAGTTTGGTTACAAATCGATTTAAGAAGTTAATGATTATCATAATAGTTAATCTAATTACATCTGTCGAAACTATCGATAGTGTATCGCACCAAAGATGCTAACTATTGAATCGGATACTTTACTTTAAATCGATGTATCACCATTGATTATTGACAATTAACCTATCGCCATCCGTCTATCAACTCGTGTTTTTGTGAAATCAGAAAGTTCTAAAGTCGAACAGAACGCGCCATGTTGCCCTACAACTTCAAACTTGTCCGACCGTTATCAATGTTATTTGACGTCATTCAGGTCAATCCCAGTGAGTGATCAATGTGACAAAAGTTTAGCTTCATTTACAGGATTGTTTGTCTTAAACCGGATTGTGAGGTAAAATATGTAGAATAATACTTTTGTTGTTTTGTGACCCACCTGTCCCATACCGTGCATCGTTGGCCCCATCACTTTGGCGGATTCGTTTCTGACGGACGATAGCGTCCTTCCCAGCCTTGTCAGTGTAGTGGTAAAAGGTAATAGTTGCCATGTTTTGACTTCTAAAACACAGAAAATATTACTCCTTCATTCAGTCTTTTCCCTCAACATCGAGACTGAAATCATGTATTGTAAAGGCATAATTTTTTTAGATATTTTCTAAAATAAATGAGAAAAAGAAAATGATAGTAGTGTTTCAACATACCCAGGACGTGTCCTTCCTTGTCGATCAGGAAATGTGTTGTGCTGTAGTCGCTATCTTAGATGCTTTAGGATAGGTAAACAGAAAGTGAAAATAAGCACAATCCCTTACATTTCCAAGAAGCGCAATCAATAAAGCATGCGTCATACCAGCACGCGGTGGCTGTAGGGTTGAATAAGACGTATTGTGATACTTTGTACTTTCAGTTTCGGTTTATCCTTCCCGAACGAATAAATTGTCACCCTGACCCTGTTAGAGTAGCTGGCCTCGCCAAAGAGCGTAGATCATCTTTCACTGTATGTCGCAATACTTAAATTATTATATAATACTTTAAGATGAATACGCACATCCTCCTGTATCAGGTGTTAAGTTCAATTAACTCAAACGCTTATCGCCTTTGCTATCTCTGTATGTATTACATGTTTTAACGTACCTGTGTGTTTTACATTATGTCCATATTTAACTATGATTCCCGCCATAAAGTAACTTAGAACAAACGTTTATCCGGGTTAACATCACTGAATCCCCCAAATACCATTCCTTAACACTGAATACCGAATACCATCTAATTTTTCACAGTGAGTCTCATTTGCTCACCACTGAATCCCGAATACAACCTATGATCACAAATCTCAAAAGAATTGAGAACTGGGTGCGGTTTCAAGTAAAATTACCGAACAATATCGAATATACATATACTACGAGACATAGATGCTAGAAGACGTTATCACGTTTTCCTGGAGAGGGAAAACTCTAAATTTCTAAGAGTCCAATCCAAATGGAACTTACACTTTCCGTGGAGTGGCGCATCTGTTACATTAGAGAGCACTCTCCTATCAGGGGTTCCAAGCCCCCAGCATTGTACCTCTGCCCCAGACCAGCGCCATGTGACTATTTTTCACACCTTAACAGTCCATTTAAGATATTTATTTTTTTAATTATTTTTTTGATTGGTCAGTGAACGGGATGTTTTATTGTTATACAGGCGGTGTGGTCATTGCACAGGCTGTGTTATTGTACTATCAGTCGTGTGGTCATTGTACAGACTGTGATATTGTAATATAGGTCGGATGGTTATTGTACAGACTGTGTTATTGTACTATAGGCCGTATTGTCATGACTGGCTGTGTTATTGTAATATAGGCCGTGTGGGCATTGTACAGGCTGTGTTATTGTTATATAGGCGGTGTGGTCATTGTACAGGCTGTGTTATTGTTATATAGGCCGTGTGGTCATTGTACAGGCTGTGTTATTGTTATATAGGCGGTGTGGTCATTGTACATGATGTGTTATTGTTATATAGGCGGTGTGGTCATTGTACAGGATGTGTTATTGTCATACAGGCGGTGTGGGCATTGTACAGGCTGTGTTATTGTAATATAGACCGTGTGGTCATTGTACAGGCTGTGTTATTGTAATATAGACTGTGTGGTCATTGTACAGGCTGTGTTATTGTAATATAGACTGTGTGGTCATTGTACAGGCTGTGTTATTGTAATATAGACTGTGTGGTCATTGTACAGGATGTGTTGTTGTAATATAGGCCGTGTGGTCATTGTACAGGATGTGTTATTGTAATATAGGCCGTGTGGTCATTGTACAGGATGTGTTATTGTAATATAGACTGTGTGGTCATTGTACAGGATGTGTTGTTGTAATATAGACCGTGTGGGCATTGTACAGGCTGTGGTATTGTAATATAGACTGTGTTGTCATTGTACAGGATGTGTTGTTGTAATATAGGCCGTGTGGTCATTGTACAGGATGTGGTGTTGTAATATAGACCGTGTGGGCATTGTACAGGATGTGTTATTGTAATATAGACTGTGTGGTCATTGTACAGGATGTGTTATTGTAATATAGACTGTGTGGTCATTGTACAGGCTGTGTTATTGTAATATAGACTGTGTGGTCATTGTACAGGATGTGTTATTGTAATATAGACTGTGTGGTCATTGTACAGGATGTGTTATTGTAATATAGACTGTGTGATCATTGTACAGGATGTGTTGTTGTAATATAGACCGTGTGGTCATTGTACAGGATGTGTTATTGTAATATAGACCGTGTGGTCATTGTACAGGATGTGTTGTTGTAATATAGGTCGTGTGGTCATTGTACAGGATGTGTTATTGTAATATAGACTGTGTGGTCATTGTACAGGCTGTGTTATTGTAATATAGACTGTGTGGGCATTGTACAGGATGTGTTGTTGTAATATAGACCGTGTGGTCATTGTACAGGATGTGTTATTGTAATATAGACCGTGTGGTCATTGTACAGGATGTGCTGTTGTAATATAGGTCGTGTGGTCATTGTACAGGCTGTGTTATTGTAATATAGACCGTGTGGTCATTGTACAGGCTGTGTTATTGTAATATAGACCGTGTGGTCATTGTACAGGCTGTGTTATTGTAATATAGACTGTGTGGTCATTGTACAGGATGTGTTATTTTAATTTTGACCGTGTGGTCATTGTACAGGATGTGTTATTGTTATAAAGGCGGTGTGGTCATTGTACAGGCTGTGTTATTGTACTATCAATTGTATGGCCATTGTACAGGTTGTGTTATTGTAATATAGACCGTGTGGTCATTGAATAGTCTGTGTTATTGTAATATAGGCCGTGTGATCATTGTACAGGATGTGTTATTGTTATAAAGGCGGTGTGGTCATTGTACAGGCTGTGTTATTGTACTATCAATTGTATGGCCATTGTACAGGTTGTGTTATTGTAATATAGACTGTGTGGTTATTGGAGAGGCTTGTTATTGTAATATAGGACGTGTGGTTATTGGACAGGTTGTGTTATTGTACTATCAGTCGTATGGCCTTTGTACAGGCTGTGTTAACTTTTTCATTTTTTTTATTTTCCCTCTTTATTCATCTCAGCAGGTACAACATTTATATATACATGTCTTGTTCAATACAATTGTGGTACATGGTTTTCAAAAAATGTACATCTTTCTATACAATAAATTCTTGCCTGTAAAGTCCACGTACTGTATCAGTGTATCACTGTTCAGTTTTTATAAAAGTGTGGAAGGAAGACCAAAAACTAAAAAAGTTTGCATAGTTACAATTTGTGAATGACAAATTACCTTTGTAGCATTGCAATAACTTTTTATCTCATGCTGTATGTGTTCAAAATGTGGCCTTGATCTTTACTTACATTGCCTGTATATAACTTGTTTTGCTATTAAAAGTACAATATTCAATGGGTTTGTTGTGTTTGCCTTGAAATCCAAACAAAACATTTTCTCTGTTTAAATCAATCGTTCCTTCCACAACGGATTTTAACCAGATATACAGTCTCTCCCAACTCTTTCTTACATCTTCACAATCATACAACATATGGATCATAGTTTCAGGTTGATTTGTACAGAAAGTACACATAGGAGAATCAACACATCCAATTTTATATAAATATTTGTTAGTTGTAAGAATGTAGTGAATAATCTTAAACTGAAACCATCTAATATCCTCACTTTGAGTGCACCTTTTTGCCATCACTATATGTTCTTGCCAATTTGTTTCACTAAATGTCTTATTTAACACACTTTCCCATTTTTCAATGACATGGAATTTAACAAACTCCTGTGCTGATAAAGACTTGTAAAAATTTTTGCTACCCATATTTTGGTTTAGAAGATGTGATATGTTGAGTGGCATGCTTGGTTGAAGAGATATAGAATTGAAAATATTGTATTCCTTTGCCTTACAAAATTGTTTGACTGCATTTACAACTCCATAATATTCTATATAATTTGTTTGGATTCCATATATATGCACAAAAGCATCAAATACATAAATTTTACCTTTGTCATCCACTAAATCCCCAATGAAAGCTACACCTCTGCTTGACCAATGTTTATAAAAGATTGGACTATTTCCTATTTGTATTTCATTATTAAACCATATAGACTGTCTCATAATACCTTGATCCGTTTCAGTTTCTTTTTGGACAATTATGTTGCCCAAGCTTCCATTTAAGATATTATATATGTCCTTCATCTGTTTCATTTTTTACAAGTCTACACGTCAAGATAAACATATGTGATAGAACGGTTTTAGAAAATATCCTAAAAGTGAAAAAGCTATTTCCATTTGCTTAGTTCTCATTTGTTTACATTGGTTGTACGGTTCCGGCCGTGCTGTCATCGAAGCCGCCGGAGACCTAGCCATATGGTCACTTTGATGTATAAATATATATTTTCATGTACTTCACTGTCACAGTGGGCGGCCGAGTAGCCTAGTGGTTAAAGCGTTCGCTCGTCACGCCGAAGACCCGGGTTCGATTCCCGACATGGGTACAATATGTGAAACCCATTTCTGGTGTCCCCCGCCGTGATATTGCTGAAATATTGCTAAAAGCGGCGTAAAACCATACTCACTCACTTACTTATTGTCACAGTTGTAGTAAAATGTAGCATACCTATATAACACTTGCATTAGGCAAATCTGTTCTGATTTCTGTTCTGTTCTGAGAAAAGTCAGGTCACGTGATATGCAAATTAGCCTGCGGCAGTGGTGTTATGCTAAGTTATCACTGCGCCGGGGTGTGGTAAGGGAGTTTTCAAGAGCCAATCAGAGCTATCGACTCATCAAGCTATGACATTTCTCTTGTTGGATCTGTTCCAAAAAAGTTTTCAACCATTGTCTGCGTGGCAGATAATGAAATCTTGTACAATGGAACACACAGCCACCACAGCAGCAACCACTCTGGGCCGCATGTATTGCCTGTCATGAAATGAAAATTGTCTGTCACTTTTCTGTTAAATTTTGTGAAAATTAACTATTTAAAATTTAATTTCAATATGACCAAGCGAGGAGTCATGGTGGACATCATGCATGCGTCATCATGTTAACGACAATAAACGTCACTTAATTACCACAAGTTGTTCCCACTCAGTGGTTATCTTTAATATATGTTTCCGAAAATGCTCGTAAAATATAACACAAAAATCACGGTCTGCTCAAATGATTGTTAGGAGTTTGACAATATGTGATGCCTGTTTAAGTGATAAAGTAATTTGACCATCTTCCCGAGGCAATTGCGTTAACTGACTCTCAAAGTCCAGTTTCCACCTTTGCGGAACAAAATTGGAATTATGGTTGGACTGACGAGCATATTCATTTTCCAATTAAAAGTGCGTAATGAAAT